AAAAGACAGCCAGACGATGAAACAGTGACATGTTGCGTACTGGCTTACCCTTGCACAGTTTCAGGCCATCGAACGCACAAACGAGCGTCACGTGCTGCGTAGGTGTGCGAATGAGGTCAAACCACTTCCTATGGCAAGGTAATTAATTGAAATGCCTGAATTTGTGAAGAAATGGTGATAAAAAAAACAACCACACGTTGAAACGGTGACATGTTGCGTACTGGCCTATCCTTGCACAGTTTCGGGCCATCGAACGCACAAACAAGCGTCACGTGCTGCGTAGTTGTACGAATTAACTCAAACCAGTTCCTATGGCAAGGTAATTGATTGAATTACCTGAATGTGTGAAGAAATGGTGCTAGAAAAAACAACCAGACGATGAAACGGTGACATGTTGCGTACTACCTATCATTGCGCAGTTTCAGGCCATCAAACGCACAAACAAGCGTCACGTGCTGCGTAGTTGTGCGAATTAACTCAAACCAGTTCCTATGGCAAGTTAATTGATTGAATTACCTGAATGTGTGAATAAATGGTGCTAAAAAAAACAACCAGACGATGAAACGGTGACATGTTGCGTACTACCTATCCTTGCACAGTTTCAGGCCATCAAACGCACAAACACGCGTCACGTGCTGCGTAGTTGTGCGAATTAACTCAAACCAGTTCCTATGGCAAGGTAATGGATTGAACTACCTGAATGTGTGAAGAAATGGTGCTAAAAAAAACAACCAGATGATGAAACGGTGACATGTTGCGTACTACCTATCCTTGCACAGTTTCAGGCCATCAAACGCACAAGCGTCACGTGCTGCGTAGTTGTGCGAATTAACTCAAACCAGTTCCTATGGCAAGTTAATTGATTGAATTACCTGAATGTGTGAAGAAATGGTGCTAAAAAAAACAACCAGACGATGAAACGGTGACATGTTGCGTACTACCTATCCTTGCACAGGTTCAGGCCATCAAACGCACAAACAAGCGTCACGTGCTGCGTAGTTGTGCGAATTAACTCAAACCAGTTCCTATGGCAAGGTAATTGATTGAACTACCTGAATGTGTGAAGAAATGGTGCTAAAAAAATAAACCAAACGACGAAACGGTGACATGTTGCGTACTGGCCCATCCTTCATTAGTTTCGGGCCATCGAACGTTGCGATGTATATTCAGAGGTAACATGCATACGATAATTATTTGATACTACCCTAGCAAATAGTAGGGTGATTGTGAGTGTTTGAAGGGATTAGCAACAATACTTTCACATACATTTACGAATCTAAACAGAAGTAAATATGTATTCAACAGTTTCAGTTCTAACAGTCGATTCGAATCATATCGCGAATCTAAAATCACGCGCCATGAGATGACGTGGCAAACGAAAATCGTGACCACGGGAAGACCTTCACAGTTATCCACAGCATTCCGCAGCATTCCGCAGCTCTCTACCCGAGCGAGCCGCCCCGTCAGGCAACGTCAGGTTCCTGCCAGTAAACTGCCAAGTTCTTCCAGCCTCAAACCTGCCCATTTCCCCTGATTCGCGATCCCAGACAATCACGGAAATCACCCACAACAGACAAAAACCGCCAGTTTACCCCCGCGTCCTAAGTCACAACCCTTCCCTCACAGTAAACGGCCAATTACAGGGCGCTCGACAACCCAAAAAAAAAGCTAAGTACTCGTCCCCCGGTTTTCGGCAGAACGACATTTTTCTGATGCACTTTTGAGGTGTCTTAAAAAGTCGTCTCCAGAGCGCAATCTTCGAGAGAGTTAACACGGATAGGGGAAGGAATAGAACGGATCATCCGTGGCAGAAATCGCAAAAGCGTTGGGAGGGAGGGCCGCCGGATCTTTGACTGCGGTGAGATGAAGGAAGGGGCGAATCCGCACGTGATGGCAGGGAATGAGGGAGCTTCGCTGAGAACATCTATGATAGAGGATGGGACTAGGCTGAGTCATTCTAAAGCGACCGGCCGTCATCAGGCGCTCGTATCGGCCTTGCTTTTGGCGTGCATTGCAGGGCAGAGGACCCCTGAGAGCGTCAGGGTCCTCGAGCCGCCCTTGCCTGGAGGTCCGGTCTGCAATCTAGCAAAAACTGTACTTTGATGTGACAGAACCGCACGCGCTTGTCCACTGGCACACGACGAGTCTTTCTGACAGGTCTAAAAAGGCACGCACTTTGACCAGCGTCAAGAATCACAGGAGTCGCTGCCGCCGCTCCTCGAGCCGCGCGCCGGCAAAATAACACAAATAATAGGAGCTGAATCAGCAGCGCAACTGGTGGCAGCGTCATCTTGTCGGCAGCCGGAAAAGTCACTCACTAAGTCACTAAGAAATGGATGACACACGTGTAACTTGGATCTACGTGGAGGTAGAAGTCTACTATAATCGCTCTACCAAACGGCTGGGCGGAATACTTGACTGCTAAGGGAAGTGCTTTTTGGTCCTACAGCCTACCTATCGGTCCGTAGAAGCTCACCAATGCAATGCTTCAGGAATGTGAGTGAGGCTGACACACACCATGTTTCGCGCTGGAGTGGCTTCGGATGTAAGAACATCTCTGGTTATACAGAACACGGTTAAGGGTGGTGAACTACGGTTCGGTACGGTTACTATTTAGCAGATTTGATCACAACAAAACCTGCCACCTGCATGTGCGCAGGTTTGAAAGGCAAAACAAGGGGTACGTCTGCTGCTAGCGCTGGTGTCGTCGACTCTGCTCTGCTCCTCGGCCTCTGCTGGCGAAACTGCCATTCTGTATGGGCCGTCCGTCGTACTGTACACAGTTCGTCATGTTCCAAAAGTCGCTGTTCTGTTACAGTTCGTCATAAGTTCGGTGGAAAAGTTGACACGTTTGTCCTTTATGCGATAAACGTTTTGCTTAGTAATAAGTAACACCCAAAGGGACGGGAGATGATGAAGGTTCTCAACTTCTTCACTCTCGTTTTGTTTTGTGACATCCGTGCTTAAATCTTCCAGTGGCATGGGGATTGGCCTGTGATGACCTCGTGACGACTGGTGATATATGCCAACATATGACGAACTGTGAACAAACAGGGACTTTTTGTGATTCTCACTTTTTGCTGGCATGACCTCTCCAAGGAAAACCTCACTTGCAGCATTCCCATGCGGTGCTGCACACCACCACAGACCAAACTCTCAACTCGCTCAGTTGAAGAATTGGAGCTCTCACGTCCCGCCCACCGGAGGTTGCAACTCTTGTCGCCACCAACTCCAAGATCCTGCCAGAGCTGGTGGCGAAAAAGGCGATGAAATATCCAGCAATTCAGCAGCGTGTCAGGGAAGATATCTGCCTCATCCCGCCAATCCCCCCCATCTTTCGCTCCTGCATCATTTTGCCCGCGTCATTTTTGTTCTGACGCCGTCACCTAGCACAGCACGCGAGGGACGGGAGCCGAAACCACCCCCCCCCCTCCCCCCACCCCCCCCTCCCTCTCCCCTCCCGTAGTTTCAAGTAGCGAGATAAAGGATTCTTGAATTTCCCTAAGTTTTCGTCAATTCGCACTCAGCAAAAAGGGCCTTTAAAATATTTTGTAACTCTCTGTTGACCGTTTGACGTTGGTCTCTTCTGTCAAACTTCGGTTTTTGTGGTTCGTATTGCTCGAGGTGCTTGTAAATGGGGTGCAACTGGCTGGCACCCTAATACACGGGTGCAGAGTTTCCATCGCGGACAGGGCAAATTCGCGCGCAGGGGTTGGGCATCTTGTGTACAGGGTGTACCCATATCTGTACAGTATAGGTGCTTGGTCGCGGTTCCCCGAGTTGCAGTATAGATTAGCATGGTTGCAGTGCGGTGACAACAAGTCGATCACAGCAATTGGCTGCTGCCACCCCAACCTCCCCCCCCCCCACAGATGTCGGCGCACCAACACGCTGTGTGGCTGAGAGCAACTGGACTGGACCTTTCTCCAAGACATACAGTACAGTACAGTAAGGGAAGGGGCTGGCTGGCAAGTTGCAACGTGAAACACCTTTCATCGTAAGTAATAATTAGTACCCACTCCCCGCTTGTCTATGCCTAACGAAACGACCTTTTTATAGAGTACAAGATGTGGCGATCGCCATAGCTTCTCGCTGGGCAGTCCCAATACGCGCGCCGCGACAGGCCAACTCGGAATGGCGACGTGTCAGTCCGGGATTTGCTCCGAAACGTCCGACGCCTCTTTCAAATGCAACCGATCGCAGCGCGTAGTTTTGTCGGAAAAGTTTAATTCCGAGACCGTGTCCAGCAGATGAATTGCTTCCGCATCTGTCGCCGCAGATTGCGTGTTCACGCAGGGGCCACGAGCCTTCACTGTGTCGCGAAATTCCGACGGGTTACGTTTCTCCTCTATTTCGTAGCCTTTGTTCGTGTCGCTCGCGGTCTCGTCGACTGCTATAACCTAACGAATCCAAGTAAGAGGCTCCGCTTCTCCCGTTCTCGGTATCACCGCCAATTAAGGTTTCGTCTCTATCATGCTAAGTACTTGTCGAGTCGTAAGCACGCCTTTAATAGAGACGAGCCACCATGTAGCAGCCGTCCTTCTCCAGGCGTATTTATAATTCCACATTTTACTCGTTCCTTTTGCCTCCACCCCATTCTTCCTCCTCTCAATATAAGCCACTTTTCGGTCGTTTGCCGGTGTGCATTCCGTTCCGCTCCTCCCGTTTATTCGTTCGTGCGTAGATGTTGCCGCCAACGATCAGCTGAGCTGGCAAAGCTGTATCTCTAGAAGTTTCGTTTCTATCCGCTGAGCCCTGTAAATCTCCAAATCTTTCATTATACCCCCTCTTCTTTGGCCGTCACAGGTGAATCTTTGAATCTCCTCTCCAACCCAAGCTTCGATACAAGCTGTCTCGATACAGGATGGCGTCGCAAGAAGCTGAACGCGTCATGCGATCCGTGGCCATATTTATTCCCGTGGCGCGCGCTGGAACCTGGGGAATCGTTTTTAAGCGACGAGGTCTTCGCCACCGCAACTGGCGGCGGAAACCGCGGAACAATGCGCGCGCCAGCGGGTGCGACAGTGGTAGAAGCGGTCGCGACAGCAGGAGGGGCGGCGGCGTCGCCTGCTGACTTGTCAATTAAGAACGGGGTCACGGGAGTCACGGACACCCTACGGGCAGCCGACGGGTCCCGCTTTTTACGGCTGACTTCCGCTTTTTCCGCGTCGCCTAGTAGCAACGACACTTCTGGTGGTAGCAATAGCAGTAGTAATGATAGTGCTAGTAGCAGCGCGTTTGGCGGCCCAGGCGTGGCGCAAGCGCTGTGCGAACTCAAACCCGCGGCGCCGACCAGCAACGAGTCGCAGCAGGCGCAGCAGCAGCAGTCCCCGCGCCAGCTGTCGCTCTCGTTCTTTGCGCGCGCCAGCCTGTGCGCGGAGGGGGAGGGGGCCGGGGAAGGGGAGGCAGTGCGGCTGTTGAAGGTGCTGCTGCTGGTAGTTCCGCTGAACGCTTCTGCCGCAGCAGCAGGGGGAGGGGGAGCAGCTGGAGGAGAGGCGGGGGAGCAGGTGTGGGGGGAGTGGCGGGTGGGTGTGCCGTGTGGGGGGAGCAGTGCGAGTTTGTCCGGCGCCTTGCCTTGGTTCCAAGTGGAACCCCTCCTCTTCCCCCTCCCTGACCCCTCCTCTTCCCCCTCCTCTTCTTCCTCCTCCGCCTCTTCCCCTTCCTCGTTGGTTGTGCCTCCCGGGGGAGTGGCGCTGCATTTGATGATTCGAGGTGTGCAAGACAGCAGTAGCAGCAGCAGCAGCAGCAGCAGCAGCAGCAGCAGCACTGCCACCGTCGCCACCTCCAGCCGTACTGCCGACGCCACTAGCAGCGTATTTGCCAGCAGCAGCAGTGACAGTGGTAGCATCGGCGCCAGCAGCACCAGCACAACCAGCAGCAGCAGCAGCAGCGGCGGCGGCGGCGGCAGCAGCAGCAGCAGCAGCGGCGGCGGCGGCGGCGGCGGCAGCAGCAGCAGCAGCAGCAGCAGGGCCGTTGTTGACAGCAGGGGGGGCAGCGGCTTTACCATTTCCTCCTCCATGGGCCTCCTAATCCGATCCGCTCTACACCCCCACCTTACCCGCGCTGCATCCGCCCTGGAAAGGCTTCTCCGCTTCCCCACACTACCCTTCCCCTCACTCAGGCGGGTCTGGGGGCCACAACAGTTCCGGAGCTCTGGGCTAAAGAGAGCAGCAGATGCAGGGGCAGCAGCAGCAGTAGCAGCAGCAGCGGCGGCAGCAGCAGCAGCAGCGCCCGCAGTGCAAACAGCTGTCGTGGAGACTGTATCTCACAATGCGGCAGCAGCAGCGGCAGTGGAGGAGGGGGTGGGGGAATCACGGGTTGCAGCAGCGCGGACAGTGCAAGCAGCTGGTGGGGTAGCCCACGCTGCGGCAGTGGCAGCGGCAGGGGAGGGTGTGGGAGCAATACCGGGAGCAGCCGAATTCACTGTTGCTGCGAGTACGGGAGGAGGAGCAGGAGCGGGAGCGAAGGTGGGAGTGAAGAGAGAGGGAGTGGCTTCGGAAGCGGGGACTACTGCTATCGACCTTGCGTCTGTCATGCCAACTCGCAGTGAGTGAGAGAGGAACAGGTGGATGCAGGGCGGGCGAGGTGGGGAGGGATAGAGCCCCAGGTGAGTGAGAGGGGGAGGTAGGTGCAGACAGACGGTTGGTGAGACGGTGCGGACGGGCGGTTGGCCCCAGTTGAGTGAGTGGGTGTGGCGTTGGAAGTGGGGCGGAGACCACTGCTATCGACCTTGCGTCTGTCATGCCCACTCGCAGTGAATCAGAAAGTCAGAAATGGTTGACAGGGTAACTGGTGTGGCACAGGCACGATGGTAGAATGCATGCATTGCGCTGCGCATTGACATCGTTTGTTTATCGATCAACATCGTTTGTTGCACACATGCTGCTCAACGTCCAAGTTTCAACCTCCGACTCATGTGCTCTGTTCATCAATCCCTGATTTCACGTCTGCGCCCACTCTTCCTCCCCCTTCCACTCCCCATCACTGCCGCTGCCCTGCAGCCGACCCCTCCCCTCTCAAGTACTTCTCCCACTCCCTCCCGCCCCCCCCTCCCCTCCTTCCCCTCCCCCACGCCTTCCCCACTTCCCTGCCCTGCAGCCGACCCCTCCCCTCTCAAGTCCTTCTCCCACTGGCCGCTCTCCAGCGCCCACCCGCTCCTCACAGCCGGCTCAACCCGTCGCAACCGCTCCTCCCTCTCCCTCACCACGCTCTCCGACCTCAACGCTGCCGCCCTCGCGCTGCACCCCGCCCCCTTCGCCCTGCTCGCCCCCGCCACGCCCTCCTCCCCCTGCCGCCCCTTCTCCTTCTCCACCTCCTTCACCTTCCGCATCTCCTCCCCCAACGCCGCCGGGCTGGGCGGCGAGGGCTTGGCGTTTGTGATGCTGCCGTCTCCTACCCTTGGCTTGCCGGGGCCCTCCCTGGGCTATGGCCGCCTGCTGCTGCCCCCGGGGAGTACGACTGGTGCTGATGACTCACAGGTACGCGCATCTCATCAGCACCAGCAGTGTTCCATTTCAGGTACGTGTCATCTCAGGTACGTGTCATATCAGGTACGTGTCATCTCAGGTCCATGTCATCTTAAGTACATGTCATCTCAGGAACGTGTCATCTCAGGAACATGTCATCTCAGGTACGTGTCATCTCAGGTACGTGTCATATCCGGTACGTGTCATCTCGGATACATGTTATCTCAGGTACATGTCATCTCAGGTACGTGTCATATCAGGTACGTGTCGTCTCAGGCAAGGTGCAAAAAAACGACCGAAAGATTGAAATTCTGGCGTATAAAACGCTATCGTATTTTTCGGCCGTTTAAAACGTTTTAAAACGCCAAAAAGTGGTAGTTTTAATGTGGTGCAAAAAAACGGCCGTTTTTTACAGCAGAAACCTTGAAACCAGTTGGTTTACACATATTTTCATTCAAGTATTGGTTCCAACCATGACCCTCGATCGGATGAACCAGCCATGAGGAAGACAAAGGGGATTTATCAGTGGGACTGTAGTAGAACGGTGACTCAGGGGAGGAGAGGATGAAGAGTCTGGGGGGGAGGAGGAGGGTTGAACGAGCGCAACCTAGACACTTTGTTACCATTGTATTGCTTTTTTGCTATCCTGGTCAGGAGCGGAGTCGTGTCTACTGTAAAAAAAAAAAAAAAAAAAAAATGTCACAAAATCTCTAACAAAACGGCCGAATTTTTTAAATCTGACCGTAAAATACGAGCATAAAAAACGGACCGTATTTTACTTTTGCCGAAATTTTGCACCTTGGTCTCAGGTACATCTCATCTCAGGTACATCTCATCTCAGGTACATCTCATCTCAGGTACGTGTCATCTCAGGTACAGTTCCTTTGCGTTCCGCATCCGCACACCCAATGGGGCGGGGCGGGGATAGGCAGCTATGGGATGGCGTTTGTTGTGGTTTTGCTGTTCGTTTTTCCGCTTCGTCGTCCCTGTTCATTGTCTGCTGGTCTTACTCTTCCTGCCTTGCTCTCCTGCTCTCATTCTCTCCTTCTCTGCTGCTCTTCTGCTCCCCCCGCTGCTCCCCCTCCTGCTCCCCCCACACACAGCCCCAGCAGCACAGGAGCCTGGCAGTGGAGTTTGACACGGCCTCTTCTCCCGAGTTCTTCGACTGCCCCGACCACCATGTGGGGGTGAACCTGCACGGCAGCATGCTCTCTCTCGCCTCTGCCCCCGTGCACCCCCTCGCCATTCCCGCCCTCAACGCCGGTCAGACCCTCCTCGCCACCATCCAGTACAACGCCTCCTCCTCCCACCTCACCGTCTGGCTCTCCCCCGCCCCCTCCCCTCCACCTCCCCCCTCCCGCTCTCGCTCCTCCTGTCGCTTTCCTTGCTTCTCTGGTTTCCCCCGGTTCTCTCGCTCTCCCTCCCCCTCCTCCTCCTTTCGCTCCTCTTCCGCCTCCTCCCACTCCGCCTCCCCACCTCTCCCGCGCTCGGCCGTGCTGACCACATTCCTGGACACCTGCGAGTGGCTGGGGGGGAACGACCCGGAGGCAGCAGCGCCCCCGCCGCCGCTGTTTGTGGGATTCACAGCGGCCACGGGCAAGGGGGCGGAGCAGGCTCAGGCACACGAGGTGCTGGGGTGGAGCTTCCAAGTGGGGGAGGGTGAGTGGAGTGTCTTTCACCTGCTACTCACACCGCTCAATCACATAACCACAATCAGTTTTTGAGGTTTCTAGTTTTGAGGCGCCTGATATTTTGAGACTACTTTTGAGGCGCCTCGAATGCACTGTTCCTCAAGATTTCGTTGGTTCTGTATCACAGTATATTCAAGGCGGCTCGGAAATTGCCTGTGCTGAACCGACCACAGTATTTCCCTTCCATCCCCTCGGTTCCTTCACCATCACACTTCCAGTGTTCATCTTCCAGTGTTCATCGTCCAGTGTTCCTTGATATGAAGAGGAGGCGTGAAGCTCATGGAATCTGCCTATCATGGCCCATAGTCCACACCCTACATAGGAGTAAAGCTCCTTGGCGTGATTTCCTCCGAAACCCCCACACCCCCCACCTTTTTCACCCCCCCTCCACCCACCCACCCCACTCTCCCCATCCCCCCCTTTCCTCTGTATCATGCCACTCCATCAGCGGAGGATCCGCTTCCGTTTTGGGCAGCAGACTCGTTCTCCTTCCCCTACATCACGCCAGCCACTCCCCTGCTGACACATGGCAGCACACGGAAGCGTTTCTTCGCCGCCGATCTCTCCGTCGCTGCTGACGTGGCATCCACCAGCCAATCAAACGAACCCGCCCCTGGAGCCCTCTTCTTCCCCCGCCGTCTCCCTCTCCTCTACTCCTCCTCCTCCCCTCCCTTGCCTCCTCCTCCCTTTGCTCGTCCTCGCAGCTCCCCCCGTTCCTCTCCTTCCTCCTCCTCCCCACCTTCCCAACCTACAGCCACCGAGCCTCCTGTCTGCATGGCTCGCTCCTTCACCTTCACATACGGCTTTTCCATGAATACATCCGCTTCCCATGGGCTCGCGTTCGTTATAAGCACTCATGCGACCGTAGGTCAAGGTGGGGCTTATATGGGGTACGGCCGGGACCCATCCTCGCGACTCGCTAATGGCAGCTGGCCGGACGGCGCGCGGAGTGTAGCTGTGGAATGGGACACTGTAGCAAACCCAGAAATGGGTGATGTAAATAGTATACATGTTGGCGTTAACACTGATTTTAACATGACCTCGATTTTCGCAAAGAAAGTGGTTTATGCGATGGAGCCGGATGACGTGTGGCAGATGAGGGTTGACTATAACGGGAGCAGCAAGGAGATGCTGATTCGGTGGTACAAACCCCATGTTGTGAAGGGCAGCACGAGGCTCAGTTTTGACCTGTGTGCTGCTCTGACTGATGTGACACAGACCACTCAAAGCAGCAGTGGCAGCGGCAGCGGCAGCAACAGCAGTAGCAGTGGCAGCAGCAGTGTGACGGACCTATGGTCGCCATCCTTTGGGCAGCTGGTCGTTGGGTTCACCAGCGCTGCTCTCCCTCCCCCCCCTGGCCGCCTGCCCTCCCCCGTCGCCCTCACCTCCTGGACCTTCCGATTCACAGGTAGGAGGGGGGGGTGGGGCGGGGTGAGGGGGAAGAGTGGGAGGGGGAAGGCATAGCAAGCCACGAGCCCTACCCCCGTCGCCCTCTCCTCCACGAGTGGAAATGGGAGAGAAAAGAGGAAGGTAAATATATATATATACATATATATAGATATATATATACATATATATACATATGTATATTCCAGCCCCCGCTTTTATCCCTCGCTTCTCACTTGACCCCCTCGCTTCTCACTTGCCCCCCTCGCTTCTCACTTGCCCCCCTCGCTTCCCCGCACACCCGTCCCCACCCCCCTTGACAGACACTGACTACTGCAACCACTCTCCCGTGCTCCCCTGCGGCATGGGCGCATGCTCTAAGGCGCCTTCCTGGTGGGACGCCTCTGTCCTGCTGCCCTCCTGCAAGTGCGCCTTGAAACTCCCCTCCTTCGAGCCCACCCACCTCACTGGCCTGCCCTCCTGCTTCCCTGGTCAGTCCTGCCTTGTGAAACTGAAGGGTGTGTTCTTTTTTTCTGTTGTTTTGTTCTTTGTATTGTTTTGTTCTTTGTATTGCGCTTCCTTTGCCTTCCTGGAATGGCAGCCCATTGTTCCCATCATGTCTACTCCGCTCCTACATCCCCCACTGCTGAGGTGGATGAGACTTACCCAATCCCCTTCCATTGTATCTCCCCAACCCACTGCCCCTCCCTCGCTCTCTTCCTCCTCCCCCTCCCTCTTGCTCTTTCCTCCCCCTCCTCCCCCATCCTCTCTTTTCTACTCTCCCTCTCCCCACCCCGCCTTCCCCCCTTCCCCTCACCAGAGGCCTACTCGTGTCGTCAGCTCTCCAGCAACCCATGCGCCCCGGGGTGTGCATCGACAGTGTGCCGATGTGCTGCTCACTCACTCACTCCTCTCTCCCCTCTCTGCCCCCCCCCCCCCCCCCCCCCCCCATTCTCTTTCCCCTCCCCCCATGTCCCCTCACCAGAGGCCTACACGTGTCGCCAGCTCTACAGCAACCCATGCGCCCCAGGAGTGTGTATAGATGGTGTGGATGGCTCCTACTCCTGCCTCTGCCCCTCGCCCTACTTCCCCTTCGCCTTTTCTCCCAAGGGCACTGCCAGTTGCTCCCTGGGTAAGTAACATTCCTTGTGTTGATTTCTTGCTTACAACCCTTTATTTCCTGAGGGGAGAGAGAAGTGTGGTTTCATTAGCAGTAGGAGAATGCATGACAAGTTCAATTCAGCTAATGCAAACTGGCTAAGCAGGCCAACAAAGTCAGGGGTTTGGAAAGAGACGGGGCACACTGCTAAGTTGAAGCGCATGGCATGTGAGGCTGACACATTTTGCAACGCAGCCCATGTAGCCTCCCACGCACATCTTTGACGCGCCTAAAAAAACGCCTAAGTTGAAGCGCATGGCATGTGAGGCTGGCACATTTTGCAATGCAGCCCATGTAGCCTCCACGCACATCTTTGAGGCGCCTAAAAAAACGCCTTAGTTGAAGGGCATGGCATGTGGGGCTGACATCTTTTGCACCACAACCCGTGTAGCCTCCCACACACATCCTCCCATCACGCCAGTTGCCTAGGAAGGTGTTTTCCGCCCGAATGCCACGGGCAGGCTCCGTTCTGGGCTTAAACGCAAAAACCCTGATCTTGCCCCAACTATGTGACCATAAGAGGGTACCAACGACGGACTGACTACCTCTGACCAACTTCTGTAACACTTTATTTGCTTTTGAGGTTCTTCCCCCCCTTTCCCTCCCCCTCCCCCCCCCCCCCTCCCTTTCCCCAACATGTCTACAGTTCAAGCGGGTGGCACTCGAATGCCAACCTTCCTGTCCCAGTTTGGTCTCACATGCCCCCTAATACTAAACACTTTCGGTTTGACACAGACCCAGTTTTTTAGTGAAAACAAGGTGAGGAAGGCGATCTCACATTGCATGTCACATATAACATATCGCATCACAACACATCACGGCACAGCATGGGACAGCACAGCACAGCGCCGTTTTTACGGTACCGTTTTTTATGGTAAATTTCCAAAAATACGTTCTTTTTTTTTTTACCCTGCTCTCAACTGCCCATGCCCTGATACCATGCTCTGATACCATTCTCTGATACCATGCTCTGATACCAGGGCTTCCAATGTCGAGCTCCCATTCCTGCCGACACCCTGGTCAACGTCACCAGTCGTGCTTTCTCCAAATGTACAGCAATGTACACTGTTAATTATGTAAGTGGCATTGCAATCACAGAAATGTACAGCAATGTACACTGTTAATCATGTAAGTGACATGGCAATCACAGAAATGTACAGCAATGTACACTGTTAATTAAGTAAGTGGCATTGTAATCACAGAAATGTACAGCAATGTACTGTTAATTATGTAAGTGGCATTTTTTAATGTAACTGGCGTCGGATTTTGTAAGCGGCATTGGATTATACGAAGGTGGCATTGTGTTATGTAAGTGGAATTGCAACTAGGCTAACCACCGGTATGGATCGATCCGGCTCGTCTTGAACCGGTCCGCTGTTTGGTAATTTGCTTATGCATAGCATGTGACCTGCATTTAAGCTGCATGCCCCCTCCTCCGTCTCCCAATGCCCATGCAGCACCAGGCGGTGCAGTGCAGTGCAGTGCAAGCCAGTCGATGAGCATTTAACCAGTAGAGTATTGATCGACTCATTCTGGCTTGCGTCGATCAAGTAGAAAGAACCGAGTCGAGCTTGTTCTCGACTCGTTTTCCCATGCCTAGTGCAGGTCTGTTGACCAGACCACATGTGCTACCACTCACTCTCCCTTTACAGGTGACTCTCACTCCACCCGCCCCGTCAATCCCATCTTATCCGTTCGCTCCTGGCCAAATCCTTACCTCACCTCACCTCACCTCACCTCACCTCACCTCACCTCACCTCACCTCACCTCACCTCACCTCGCGTCACCTCACCTCACCTCGCCTCACCTCATCGCTCCCCCCGTGTGCGTGTGAAACCAGGGCGACACCTGTGACTCCATCAACGCGCTCTTCGCCACGCAGATAGAACCGTGCAACCCCATTCTCCCATTACCCTCGCTCTCACTTCCACTTCTCCCTGTATCTGACACGTGTGCCTGCAGGGCGACACCTGTGACTCCATCAACGCGCTCTTCAACACGCAGATAGAGCCGCTCAACCCCGCGCTCAGCTGCTCCGATGGGCCGAGGCATGGGCAGGTGAGATCACTTTTGAGTAGGTGAGATCACTTTTGAGTAGGTGAGATCACTTTTGAGTAGGTGAGATCACTTTTGAGCAGGTGAGATCACTTTTGAGTAGGTGAGATCACTTTTGAGTAGGTGAGATCACTTTTGGGCAGGTGAGATCACTTTTGAGTAGGTGAGATCACTTTTGAGTAGGTGAGATCACTTTTGAGTAGGTGAGATCACTTTTGAGTAGGTGAGATCACTTTTGGGCAGGTGAGATCACTTTTGAGTAGGTGAGATCACTTTTGAGTAGGTGAGATCACTTTTGAGTAGGTGAGATCACTTTTGGGCAGGTGAGATCACTTTTGAGTAGGTGAGATCACTTTTGAGTAGGTGAGATCACTTTTGAGTAGGTGAGATCACTTTTGAGTAGGTGAGATCGCTTTTGAGTAGGTGAGATCACTTTTGAGTAGGTGAGATCACTTTTAAGTAGGTGAGATCACTTTTGAGTAGGTGAGATCACTTTTGAGTAGGTGAGATCACTTTTGAGTAGGTGAGATCACTTTTGAGTAGGTGAGATCACTTTTGAGTAGGTGAGATCACTTTTGAGTAGGTGAGGTCACTTTTGAGTAGGTGAGATCGCTTTTGAGTAGGTGAGATCACTTTTGAGTAGGTGAGATCACTTTTGAGTAGGTGAGATCACTTTTGAGTAGGTGAGATCACTTTTGAGTAGGTGAGATCACTTTTGAGCAGGTGAGATCACTTTTGAGTAGGTGAGATCAGTGGGTTGAAGGAACTTTAGAAAGTCACAAGTGCAGCATGGGGTTGTGGTCACAAGTGCAGCATGGGGTTGTGGTCACAAGTGCAGCATGGGGTTGTGGTTACAAGTGCAGCATGGGGTTGTGGTTACAAGTGCAGCATGGGGTTGTGGTCACAAGTGCAGCATGGGGTTGTGGTCACAAGTGCAGCATGGGGTTGTGGTTACAAGTGCAGCATGGGGTTGTGGTCACAAGTGCAGCATGGGGTTGTGGTCTATGATGGATTATACGCTCTAGACCCTTAGCGTTTAGCGTATCTACGCTAGCGTGTGCACGCAATACGCTAAAAGCTAGCGAATACGCGATACGCAGCCATAAAAATTTTCGGGCAGCCCGGGAAAGTAAAATCGCAGAAAAGATGTGGATTCTCTTGGTGAGCATTTCGCCGAAGTCGAAATGCAAATCCGCGGTCTATGCCAGGTGGGATCTGACTTGGAAGTTTTCAGGCACATCTGGCTATTCAAATGTCGAATTTCAGGTCCCATCTAGGCATTTGAACCCATCCCCTCTACCGCATTGAAAACCATCTTATCTACGAACCCCAACCTATCAATATCGAACCCCCAACAAATCTCACGCTACTTACCAGCCAACCCAACTCCTAACCCGTCATTTCCTACCTTGCATTCCCGCTTGCAGCAGTGTCCCCGCGCACTCCAACTTGAACAGCCTCTCCAACACTACTCCCTCTAGCTATGATGTCTACTCCCCGCCCCACCCCACCCGCCGATCGGACTCAGGAAAATGTTAGGGCACGTCTTAGTGAGATGAGATAGGGGGTAATTTTTTTCCACCCTGCCCGAAATGTTTTTTTCCCTGCCCGAAAAAGCGTATGCCTGATCCGACCCTCAAGCGTATGGCGTATACACACTAACGTATATACGATACGCATATATACGCTAAACGCGTATAATCCATCATAGGTTGTGGTCACAAGTGCAGCATGGGGTTGTGGTTACAAGTGCAGCATGGGGTTGTGGTTACAAGTGCAGCATGGGGTTGTGGTTACAAGTGCAGCATGGGGTTGTGGTCACAAGTGCAACATGCACACCAATGTACACCAATGTACACCAATGTACACCAATGTACAGCAATGTACACCAATGTACACCAATGTACACCAATGTACACCACCAATGTACACCAATGTACACCAATGTACACCAATGTACAGCAATGTACACCACCAATGTACACCAATGTACAGCAATGTACACCACCAATGTACACCAATGTACACCACCAATGTACACCAATCTACAGCAATTTACCCCAATACACCACCCCTGTTCGGACAACTACCATCTCTTTCCTCTCCCCCCTTTCCTCCCCTCCCCACAGTTACTCTGCGTGGCGTTTGACCAAGAGTGGTACGACCAAGGAAACACTAACGTAAAGTGCAACCACTACGCACGCATCACTCCAGCCACACCCTCCAGCAGCCTGCAGCAGACAGCCCCATACACAGTCGAGAGCGTGCTCATAAGCGAGCTTGAGAGCGCACAGACCTGCCAGGGGCTGTGGCGGGCATTCAGCCTCGCCTCTCCCACGCGCTTCTTCCAGCTCAACCCCGGCCTTCCGTGCGACTCGCTGCTGCCTGACAGCCCGCTTCAAGGGAACTTTGTGACTGAGGTGAGTGCGAAGAGTGGACCAGGGTGTGTGGGAGTGACTTGTGAGTTGGTGTAACGAGGTGACTTTTGAGTCGACTCAAATCACCCCTCCCACGCGCTTCTTTCAGCTGAACCCCGCCTTTCCGTGCGACTCGCTGCTGCCCGACAGCCCGCTGCAGGGCAACACTGTGACTCAGGTGGGTGGGAAGCTGTTACCAGGTGGGTGGGAGTGATCTTTGAGGCCTAAAAAATCACTTCTGTGTGATTCTCTGCTGCCAGACAGCCCCCTGCAGGGCAACACTGTGGCTCAGGTGGGTGGGAAGACTGTTACCAGGTAGGTGGGAAAGCTGTTACCAGGTGTATGGGGCCAGGTGTATGGGGCCAGGTGTATGGGGCCAGGTGTATGGAATTGAACCTAGGCTTCCTCTAAATTTCCTTTCTGCACTGCAGTAGGAAGAGTGTGGATATGACTGCGAGGTAAGTGCGTGGCAGTGTGCAGTGGTGCGTGAGTGGTTGTACGAGTGAAAGGGATTGAATATGAGCATCACGGAAACCTCGCAGCCAGAATGGTGCGAGTGTGGGGGATATTGGGGCTTCGCTTTCGATGATGCCAGGGGCCAGGGTAAGTGGTAGAGCTGGGGAGTGGAAGGGTGTGAGTGCGATGATCCAGGTCGAATCTCTATTCTCCTGTGACAAGGTCAAGAAGGCTGTTGCTGGCAGTAGCGTGAAGTTTTGAGATGCCACGAGTGGTCGAAAGCTAGCTTCATATTTGATGCTTCCTTTTTAGTTTGTCTCACGCAAACCCTGTTTTCACGGAAACACAATTGGCAGGTTTGTGTGGCCGGCTTTGACTCTCGTCCTCTCTCGGGCGTGCCCTGTTCAACCAAGAGATTGTACAGTGTGAAGCGTGGCGATACGTGCGGCATGCTGGTCACTAAGAAATACAGCCGCAGCATTGAATTGTTTAGAAACCTTAATAACGGTTATGATTGTGCAGTGAGTAGATTTTGGACTGGCATGTTGCTTTGTTTGCCTTGACTAGATTTGTTCTGTACAAAGCCATTGCACATTGCACATTGAATCCTACAGCAATCGCGCGAATAAAAGACGCACTGAAAAGAATGTCCCATCCATGCGACCTGTACATAGTGTTACAAAGCTGTTGATGACAGCCTTTTGAACGAGTTCAAGAGATCAAAAAGGTGCACGCGAATTGCGCCCTTTGAACAGTGCGGTAGCGGCATTCGCGGCGACAGCGCATATTGTAGGACCCTCATTCGTCCCACGAGCCCGGTGTCCCCAGTTGTAGTAGTACCCTGTTCTCGGTCGGCAGAGAAAATCGAAAATTTCTGCCATGGCGGCAGGCCCCTAGATTCGTTTTGGACCAGGCTGATCCATCAGTCCTGGTACGGAAAAAAAAACGGTGACAGTCAGCGTTACCTAGGGAAAAAAACTCTGAAAAATCAGTGTTCATAAAAAAATTACGCTAATTGTGTATAGCTTTGTTTCTAAGCAGAATTACGAATTACATATACTTTGTGTAACATTTTTATGGTTGGTTTGGGAGTGGCGAGGGAGGCAGGCGGGCTTTGGGGAGGGGCGAGGTGGGCTGGGGGAAGGGGTGAGAGAGCGACCTGGGCTAAGGGGAGAAACGGGGTGGGCTGGAGGAGAGTTGAAAGGGGGGTTTATTAGAGTGGACGAAGTGGGCTGGTGGGGAAATTCGAGTGGAACACGGGGGCTGGGGGGGAAATTCGAGTGGAACACGGGGGCTGGGGGGGGAATTCGAGTGGAACACGGGGGCTGGGGGGGAAATTCGAGTGGAACATGGGGGCGGGGGGGGGGGGGGGGTGGGGGGTGGAAATTCGAGTGGAACACGGGGGCTGGGGGGGGAAGTTCGTGTGGAAGTGGTGTGCTGGCGGAAATCACTGTTTTCCGGTTTCAGTGTTTACCCACTACAAGGCTGAGTGCTCAGCCTACACCCATACAAACAGGCTGGAAATTCAGCCAAGGTATAGAAAAAAACACTGAAAAATCAACACTGAAAAATCAGCCAAGGTACATAACAAAAAACTTTGGATTCAGCCTAACCCCTAAAAAAAAGCCTGATCTAACGCTGAATCAGCGTAACAAGGCTGATATCTAGGGCACTGCATGGCGGGAATTTTGTTGAAGTCTGTGACACCGCTGAGCATGATTTCTTGCGCGATTTCATATCTTAGGCCTGAGGCATAGCGATCGATGTGCTCTCTCATGTGCATGTAGCCAATCTGCGTCAGGAACCCACTTGTATTGTCCTGGACGGAAACATTGCCTCGAATCTCCCATGCAGACTCGCGCACCGCGCGTCCCACGTGCGATGGGCGACCTCGACAAAATACGATAGTACCTATGATCTGGATGGTTCCCCCCCTGCAGAAGCGGCTCGTAATCGCTCGGCTTCGTGACGATGGTGCGCCACCAATCCATGTTGGGACTTCACAATAACAATATTGCGTATCGAATCTTCGTCGCATCAGACGAGCCATAGTTAATGTAAAAAAACACGTTCATGGTGAAAATACACTCCTAAGCCGTCGGACCACCCCAATGACTCAGGTTAAAGCATGGCGGATGCTGCGGCTTGAGTGGCATCGGCAAAAAAAGAGTCGACTCATCGTTCTGTGCCGTGGCATTAACGCGCTGTTGGGTCTCCGGCACACTCGTCGCTCCGGGGTGTGTCGTCTTGTGGTCGTCGCGCACTTTGATGCATACGACACCATCATCACTAGCGCTCTAGCATTGTTCTATGCTCTTGTGTTGAAATGTTGATGGTGCTGCCATTGCTGTTGTTGCTTGTGTCTGTGATTGCGTCTGGCTTACAGTGCGCTGGAGGTTTTCTCGCTCTTGCGTGAGGTCGGCGAGATTAATGCAATCTGCCATTCTGAAAGGACGTCGGCCAGATTAGGTGCTAGGTGCAATCGTGGCTACACATGCTTGCGAGAGAGCACAAGGACAATGGCTCCTAGTATGATGAGAGGCAGTTGGTCATTTCGAGGGAAAAAAAAAAGGTGCAGTTTGAAGGAAAGTAGTTTTGATACCAAGTGTTACATGTGCATTTGAACGAGCGAGTAAATATTGCACTAAAGAGTCAAATGAGCACAATGTGACCGAACATTTATAACGAAAACATGTAAACAATAACGTGGTGCGTGCGAGCTAATTAGTGCGATACTGGCAGCGAGGTTCGGGCTAGTCTTGAAGCGTAGACTGACTCGGCCAAGTCCAGTAGTGCATTGGAAAAATGTGATGTGCAAGAGCGGCAAGACACCGTTAGTAGCGACGGGCGAAGAAATTGTTGGTCTTGTACGCGTTGCTGAGGTGGCGGTAAGGAATGCTGAAAGAAATCTTTACATGCGTGGCACAAGGTCAGTGTGCATGCGTCTCTTCGGCGATTTGGACTTCACCTCAACCAGAGCAACCCTGTCTATTCTAGAGAAGATTAAGTCGTCGACGTAGATGAGGACAAAAAAATGGGTGGGCCCAGAACGAACGAACAGTGACGGGTTGGAAGAAGAAGGGCGGATCCTGAGGGAAGAAAGAGTTGTGCGCAAGGTGTTGTGCCACTCACGAGGTGCCTGGAGCAGTTTGTAGAATGGTCATCTCAAGCTCCTCTAAGTCTCAGGCGAGAAAGTGCAAGTGAACCCAGGTGGACGGCGTAGCCATATCTCCTTGTGCAGGGTGCCTTGGAAATGACCAATGAGTACAGCTCGTAATCTTGCTGTGCTGCTACCTGAAGTTACACCCAAAGAGTAGTCATCTTCGGGTTCGGGAGAGAAGGTATAAAATAACGTAGCGCATATTGAACTCTCTCACGGTGATTGAATCCTCTAGCCACATAGCGCATATTGAAGACAGGCGACAATTCAGGCAGCCGTTTCACCTTGAAGATCCACATGTCATTGACTACGTTCGCTGACAACAACTCCATGATCCTCTTGTGTCAAGAGCCTTGACTGGAGGGCGGTTTAATGCAGATTGACTTGCTCACTTCCTGCTGCGAGAGCTGTAGTGACGCTGTCAGAATCAACTGTGCAGGAATGGATGAACTTTGAATGAGTTGGGTACAAGTACCAACCCTAAAGTATTGTACATCTTGTAGGCTGACCCACTATAGCCTAGAGAGAACACAAACATGCAGTTTGACACACCCCCATAGGCTAAGTGGGAGAGAGCAGGCAAAGCAAAGCTCAGGGTGGATATCAAGGACACCACACAATCTGAGCACAAGCAAGCGGCCATAAAGCCTGTTCACATGCAGAGTTATAATAGCAAGGCAGTACACTGATCACAACCTAGCAAGTGTAAATATGCAGGTATATAGATATATAGCAGTGTACAACAAGGTAAAATCAAGCAACCAGCAGGTGAGGCAGAGTGGGCACTAGCCCAAGAGCAGTGTAGAAACGCTGATGATCACCAGACCCAAGGGCCTTGGTGAAAACATTACCAGTGCTGGCCCGAGAGGCCACGTAAGCAAGGCGCAGCTAACCACGCTGCTGCAGCTCCTAAGCAAGAAAGTAACAGAGAGCAATGTGCTTCGTTCTGTGCTCCAGTCTCTGCTCGCGACACAAGGCAAGCATTGCCTTGTTGTCGACGTACAGAACCGGAGGAGAACGAGGCCGCTCCCCCAAGTCGGTCAGCAGGTAGGTCAGCCAGCGTAGCTCCTCTGCAGCCATGGCTCCAACGTAGATCTCGGCCTCACAGCTGGAACCAAGCACAGAAGAAGAACGAGTGGACCTCCACGAGACAGAATCAGAGCCAAGACTGAAGGTGTAACCCTGTGACAAATGCTGAGTCGCCTAGTCGTCGGCCCAAGAAGCGTCGGAGTGTCCTGTGAGTACCACTAAACCCTGTCCTCCAAGCACGAGCCCCATGCCCGATGTACTGCACAAGTAACGCAGTACCCTCTTCGCAGCATCCCAGTGCACCTTTCGATGTCTACTGGGAGCCACGTAGCGAGCCAGGAGGCTGAGAGGGTACGCG